GAGAAAGGATGTAGATCTCATGACAAGCCACCCCAACTGAGTAGCCTCCTATAAAAGAAAAAGAGGTGTGAGAAGAGGATACCATCCAAGAATGGGCCAAAAGAAGTCAATCGACCAAGAAAAGAATATCAGCTCTGGACCTTGAATATGGTGAGCGAAGGCCCTCATGATACAAATGAATACAAAAGAGGCCAGGGCTATGTTCAAGGGAAAAGCAAAGAAATGAAAAATGCAAATCTGATAGATAGAACAGGAAAAACATATGGAAGATTGATCAAGAGGGATGTGTAAAAAAGGTATCCAAATCAATTATGGCCAACAGCAAATTGGTTAAAAAGACCATAGACAAGGTCAGAGGGAGTAGAAAATGAAATGGGAAGAGGAGCACAGAGAAGAGAGTGTGTGGTAGCAAAACGAACAATGACTGTCAGCAAAAGCTGAGACCAAACGCAGGAGAAGAGGAAGAGATGTGACATTATATTCACTGACAAAAAGAGCAACGAATTAGATGTCCACTAATAGAGTCTGGGGGGGGGGGGAGTAATATGAATTGGAGAGCTCTGAGGAAAAGTGCTCTGGAAACTGTGCAATAGGTGAACCAAGTTCCCTACATTTTTAAAATCAAACTGACCCTGATTTATTCCACCTGAAGATTATCAGGGATGGGCAGGATCCCCTTTAGCTTTACTCATAATAGTCCATGAGTGGCAGTCCATAATAAGAAGGAAATACCATCCAATAGGCACCTAGATGGTCTTATGGAACACCCCATTTTGACAGAGCCTGTTGCAGCCTGTAGTAATTATAGTGAAAGTGGTTGCTAGTGTGGAAATGAAAAGAGAAAACATACCTGCCTGGGATCCATTGACAAATAAAGGGACCCTGGAGATAAAAGAGTATATGATCATGGAAAATACTCACCTCTGGTTAAAATCTAACAGATGTGGGGGTAGTCAAAAACCCTCAGAAGAGGAAACTGCCAGAATATGTAAGTAATAAGATAGGAAAGTATTAATAGTAGTCCACATACCAGCCCACAGCATGTCCTCCAGAGGGCAATTCAACCTGGTGGCTAATGACATACAGATATGACAAATCTGGCAATATGTGACATGCAAAAGATTCCTCTCCTGTAACAACAATCCATTATAGGCCATGTGAATCAATTTAAGAAGCCACCTTGTTAGGGTAATGGTAAATAAATCATGGGAAATAGAAGGATTCCAATGGATGAATGAACAATTGATTTCTACTACCTCAAAATGAGTTAGTATGAGCCACATAACACTTGAGGGCCCTAACAAGACATAACAAACAATCAGGATTGGATCAGTCATAAATGTGAGAAATGGCTGGCATATGAATTGATGAGAAGGATCTTTCCTCTTCCCTGGCTGCCAGAGTATTGGAAAGAAAAGACCTATTGGGGGTAAAGCAAGTCAAATGTGAAATTTGAAGAGTCCACAAGCCAACAACAACAAAAATTATAATTTAAAAGAAAGGTGAAACTAAGAACATGAAGCTAAGGGATCAAAGTGAGGATGAGACAATGCATGTAAAACAACTGTAAAAGCCCAATTCGGAAATTGAAAAGGTAATTTAGGTCAAGGAATATGAAAGGATTTGAGTAAACCTGATAGTACTGAGGATTCAAGACTTTCCAATATTTGAAATACTGACAAATAGTGGATAAGAATGCCTTATATAAAGCCTCCATAGATGAAGCAAGACCCCTCTCAAGTCACAAAATGGGGTATGGTAGATACTTTAAGATGAAGAGGGTTTAAATTCCTTTTAATACACTACTGATGATAAGTATTCCATTTCCTTTGATAAAGAGTCGTGGTTGGCCTATGGAGAGATTTAGTTAAATACAGAGAAACTTTAGAAGTTTAACTCGTATGTCAGCCAAAGGACCGCACAACTTCCAAGCATGAAGATTGAGTTTCTGAACATCTGGGTGGAGAATGTATGATCAAGGTTGTTTCAACAGAGACTGCCAATGTGGAAGAGGTAGAGGTGGACATTCCTGTAGATACCGAAGAAGCGGAAACAATGTTTGAGCTGGCCAATGTGGTCCAACCAAGAGAACTCAACAGGGAGTGGAATAAGGGAAAAAATAGTCCGAACCTGGAGCAATAGCTGAATCAGGAGAAAGGCATACAAATTTAAACCTGTCCAGTCCTGACTGAACACATCTACTGCCAATGCTTGAGGATGAGGTATCGAAGACCAAAACAACTGCAGCTGAGAATTCCAATGAATCACTAAGGCATCATTCGTTTGAGACCCGAACTGAGAGCAAATCCACTGAAAAACCTCATGATGTAGCATCCATTCTGTAGGAAGAATCCAGTTAGATGACGACAAGTGATCTGCAATTAAATTCATCACTCCTGGAACATCACATGCTAAAAGACTGATACGATGGAAATGACGCCAGTAGATAAGATCCAAGGTATGAAAACAAAGGTCTTAAGAGTGTGAGCCTCATTGACGAGAAATCTGAGACACCACCATGGAATTGTCAGAATGTATCATGACAACTTTTTACCTCAAGAGAGACAGCCCTTGAACCATAACCCACTGTACTGCAAGGAGTCCAAGAACATTGATATGAAGAGTAGACTCATCTCCTGTCCAAATACCCTGGAACTCCTGACCTTGAAGATAAGCTATCCATTCCTGGTGGAGATGATGTAAATTGAATGACCAACCCTGAAGCCAGAACATCGAGTACCCATGGATCCCTGGTGAAAGAACTCCAGAAGTTCAGAGAGTGATGTAATCGTGCTCCCACTGCTCCTAGGATAGTCACCAACACCACTGTCGATGGTCCGCCTGAGCTGAAGATCCTCCAGAATATGAATAGTCTCTATTATGGGAACCAGTAGACCTGGGAACCAAAGGAGGGAGTTGGGAAACACTATGAGCCAACAAATTAGTGCCAGAAAGGGAAGAAGCCAGTGACAATAAAGAAGAATTTAAATGAGTAGAATCAATTCATGATTCTAATGTCTCTGGAACTCCGGCAAACAACATGGGATGGAGAAAAGGAGCTTCTTATAAATCCTTGAGGGCAGAATATGGTAAACAAACACTTTCTAACAAAGTGTCTCTACCCAATAAATCCCAACAACAAACCAGCCAGAAAACCAGAGAAAGAAGTGAAGAAGACAATCTGACTGAGATAGATGTCAGCAAAAATTCCGAACTCGTCCTCAAATTGCTGAGAGGAATGTGATAGGCTTCCAACAAAAGTTGGATTGAAGATAAATGCTACAAGACAGTCGTGAGAATAAGAAGAATCTGAGAAAACTGTGATCTGTTCAAAGTGATCACAGGTTCCAATCTAGACCCCCACAGGGGCAAAAAGGGGTCCATCCACTGAGAATCTAAATATACCTCCTCCAGGCAGTGATAAGCCAAAGCATGCTGTTCTGATAAACGTAGGGAACATGCAGAGCTATCCCCTCATGTAACTGAACAGCAAATCTCCCAGCATGAACAGCAGTATCAGGAGAATGAGAAAAAACCAACTAGTCACTTGCTGTCTTTTCTGCCAAGAAAGGAGTAGAGTCAAGCGCAATAGGAAAGACCCCCAAAACCTCAGAAACCCGAGTAACCAACTGAAGAAAAGAGGCTGGATATGGCTAATCAAGATGATCCTCTGTTAGAGGCCTACCTAGTAAATAAAGGAGCTGGAAAAAGCGAGTTTAAATTCTCCCCAGCTGGTCCCGGATCATTTACAAAAGCCACCTCAGAAACCCCTGGAAAGACACCCTTGGTCCGCATATATATCTCCACCTCACAACAGATCATATCATGGACAGTTTCAACTGAGAGTGACCCCCTCCCCTGGCCATTGACAAACACAGGATAGCAGAGGTGGAAGAGATGAGGTCTGGTTGGCCTCCATAGTAGAAACATTAACATAGGAATTCATACCCATAAGTACTTTAATTTTTTTGTTAAAGTAACTTATAAATATAAACAATGATATAACTGTAGTAATGCCAACCATGTTCAAAGTCTTAATAATCACAACACTCCTGTTTATAGAAACCTGTGCCGAATGCTTTGTCGAGTGATTACATTATCTGAATGAGGTGCTTATATACAGTACCTAGATAGAGGGCGCATTGAAGTTGGTGAAGAATTTTGCAAATTAGAATTTGCCAAGAGCATTTGAGCAGGGTATAAAAGACTGGAGCAAGTATTTTCAATGCTTAGATGGGCAAAGAGTGGAAACCCTGGAGATCGAGAAATAGCTATAATCAGTGGAAGTAAGTATGTTTGGGAAACATAGTTTTCATTATAGCAAATATAACAGCATTATATTAGTAATGAAGTTGACTAAGTACAGAAAACAGTAAAAGAAAAAAAAAAAGAAAAACTTTCTTTTTAACCATCTTAGCATCATCTGGACCCTAATGCATAAGGACTCATGTACAATACTTACCCAAGTTTCCAACAAATCACAAAATCTTTGTGATCTTGACAACTAACATTAGAATCATTTTGGGCATAATGAACAGCCAAGGCTAAAACATAAGATTAATCCTTACAAGGTTTGAGAAAATTCACTTGCAATTATAGATATTGACATAAAATAATAACATACTTGTATAAAACTTTAAGTTCAAAAGATGTTACATAATGTCAAACTGTTTTCTAAAGTTTTGGTGAAATTCCACTGAAAATTGTAAGAAGAAATCACAACACCCAATGGCTACATGCTCGAACATTCTTGTTGAACAATGATTAAATGATAGTAATTCAATCAAAAAAGATAAAACTGAGCTTCTCTACCTATGCATCCCTATATCTTAATCTCTTTCTACTATATATATATATATATTCACATAGTTTGATAAACTGTTGAAACAGTAAAAAGTTTATTATATAATGTACATCACTTCATCATTTCAGACAATAAATATTACAAGTCACTTCACAATGCTGATTTAGATATACATATTTTAAAACTTGTTACTAACCTTGTTCATAGCTGAATTTAAAAACCATCAGTAAAAGTACTAGTAGACTCCACTCTCTCCTTTGAAAATGCAGTGACAACCACATGACAATACAAAAAAGTTGTGACTCTGGTCAAACAATCATAAAAGGAATCTATAAGAAAATAGTTTATAAAATTATGAAAAAAACAGCTTAATATAAGCCTACTATACTTTTGTTATGTTAAAAACAGTCTATTACATACTTAACATTTTATTAATTGATATAAAGTTTACAATAACAATTGGATGAACATAAGGTTTATCAGATTATCCATGTTATCCAACTCAAGGACAGTTTCACGATTCAACATATCCATAACAAAATATCTTAAGAATTAGGGGCCTGAAAATCAATTATTGTCTGGACATTAAAAATCAACATGGACCAAATGGAAGAAAGAAATGAACAGTTTCCATTACCTTAGTTATATTGCTAAGTGATGTGTTCAAGTGAGTGACCATAAATACTGATGGTGATGCAATAATAGGCAAAAGCCATCCAATCAGGTGAACTTCCAACTGTATTCTAACAATTTATCTGTGCATTGAATTTGAAAAAATTTTGAACCACCCTGATTTTCTTGACTCAAAAGAACCTTACATTACCTGAAGCAGAAAAAAGTTAACTACAATTACATAAAAAAAAAGATCTTTACCAAAACAGTTGCTGTATATCCATGACCCCCCCCCCCATCAGGTTTCAGTTTTCAAATATCAAACTACCAAAAATGAAAACATCTTTCTCTATATTATGCTTTCTTATTATGTACCATTGTTTCATGATTTTTACATAAACACACAGAATATTAATAAAATCCACAGAGATACATACTGTACAGGCCTAAAAAACAGCAACACACACGACATTTATAAAAAACAAAGTAAAAATAAAATTCCCACAAAGCCATATATTGAATATTGTTTTACATGTAAAATTTGATTTATTTTTCCTTTATAATAACAAAACAAAAATTTTTTCAAAATAAGATAAGCTTATAAAACATACTTGTATCATCATGATTTACACTGTCTGTAAAATATATTTTAACTACAGTAGCTAATATCAAACTAAACATTACCAATTAATCATGTACAGTTAAGAAAACACTTCTGCAGGTAGATGAGAGAGACAAAAAACATAGACTGAGTGAATATGAAACAACTCTTTTCCAGATGTTCTTACCATAGAACCATTTACAGCCAACGTAGACAGCACACAATGGTGGAACAATTGGTAAACCGGAAAAACACTGACACAAGCAATGTTAGCATTAAGGAACTTCCTTTAAACTCTTCATGATTATGAACATACAATGGACTCCTTAACAGTCACACTAACAACAAACTCGCATTTTTCACAAGTTTTATCAGTTTTTGTTCAAATAACAATCTGATAAGTTATCATGCATTAATTTAAAAAAAAATAATTCCGGGACAATTTAAAGCAAGACACAAGACTCAGTGTATTCTTATAACGTTCTTGTGTAATACATAACCTACATATACATTACTTAATAAGGAACATATTGCACATACAGTATACATTAACTTTAAAGCACTTGAAGTACATATAAATGTTTTATTTTGGATAGAGAAAATAGAATATTTAAATAGTAGTTTCAAAATAAGTGTTAGAGATATAGATGAACTTAGTTAATATCATTCTAATGTTAGAAGTATAAGGAATAAAACGGATAAGTTCAAAGTACAAGTTGAAACGAAAGACTGATATAATCAATGTTTTTTTATTTTAAGTAACAGAAGACTTATATACAGAGATTTCCTTTTTATGTAAGCAAATAAGTGGAGATTATCAAAACAAGAGAATCCTCAATAGCCTCAGCTGTAATTAGATCTCAAATCAGTCACGAGATGGAACTATGAACTAAAAGTTTGTACTTGAAAAAAAAAAACTCGGAGCCATTCTGTGAGCTGCTATGCTATGGTTAAAAACAAAAACCTTGCATGTACCTGTAATTTAATTCAAAACTAATAAATTACTTTTAATGACTGAGATAAATGAAGCAATTGAAAATGGCTTAATAGAAAGAAAAAGATAACTGTCTGCAGGAACTCATTCTAATGTTTATTAATAACAACCTCTGGCAGATAACTCTTTAAACACAAATTATGTTTTGAACATTCACCACAAAGTCTTTCACTGAGTAAAACATATTTTAGCAATGTAGTGATATCATGCAATGTTAAAATGTAATTAAAGCCAATAAAATGAAACCTGAAAATAATATAAACTAGGAAGTGCAAAGAACTGAACAAAATAGAGCAGCTGCAAAGTTTCCAGTTAACTACTCATCAGGCAAGAATCACTTGCTTTCTTTGCAGAGGATGACTTCAAAGAATATCCTGCAAGATCTGTGTCCATAATTTTAGACTTTCTGATCAATAAAATGAAGCCACATATAGAATAAAGATGCCAAATACAGAGGACAAATTCTGACACAAAACCAGAATTATGGCACATGTTAAAACGTATGTGGAGAGACATTTAACAAATGAAACAATACTAAACGAAGGTAAATTTTTTAACCATGTTATGTAAAATATACATGTATTCCTACACACACGGACAAATCTAGGTCAAATCTTGTCATGAAAGAGAATAACAAAAACAGCGAGATCTAGTGATAATGATGCCATAAATTCTTATACTAACCATTAAACACACTGTAACAGAAAACGGCAGTTATAAACGTATATAAAGCTGACCTGATTAATAAATCATAAGCAAACACATACAACTTAGAATACATATGTAAGGTTATATATGTATGTGTTGAAATGAAAAAATGTTTATATTAATGTACTTAAACAAAGATACACAAAAAAAGAGAAGTTTAGTCTTAAATGTATTTGCTTATACTACATATATGTGTCCTATTAGTTTTAGAAAAGTATTCTTGTATCTAGTATTGTACCGAACAAAATAGCACATGTCAAGTAATGTTTTCTGTGTAAGCATATACTTTTCATAACTTGTGTAACTACAATATCTATTGTCAAAAGATTACAAACTGTCACTAGGAGTTAAGCTACAGCACTTAAAACAACTATTATACTGAACAAAGTGAAACAATGTAGTTAATTAAAAGTAACAACTTATTCTATACACACACACACACACACACACATATATAAATTTGGGAGTTACCCAACAAGCAAGTTAGGGCTACTACATTGTAACTCTAGTGAAAATGCTTATACATTATAGTATCAAGTACTATCTGAAAACTTTTCTTTCCAGCTACATTAGATTACTTCATTGTGATTTTCTTTAATTTTAAGTGCTTGGGCACTAAATATTTTTCTCAACATCAAAAATCCACAAAACCATTGTAACAAGTATTTTTCGTACTCAACCATTTAGCCCACAAATACCATAACAGACAATAGAGCTAGGGGATTAGTGGAATTTGTTAACTCATAAATTGTCAGGCTCTTAATCAATTACATTCAATAAATTCATTATTCTCACATGCACTTCAATAATTGGAATAATCAAAAATAGTCATAATCGTAAACACTAAATTTATTTTCCTGAATCGACACAGTGATTAAGCTGAATAATCTTGAATTAACCTAAATTAATAACAACAAATCATAATAGTAATATTTTGATTATTTGAATATCTGTAGTTGATTATTTTCAGAATATAATTTTGATTAATTGATTAATGTAGATGGCACTAATCGATGTAATTGAAGTCCACAAGTAATTTATTAATTGAGTTAGTAGCCTAGTTCTAACGAACAATGTCACAAGTTAACAAGTAACTCACATATACAAATAGTATATACAACATATATTACAAATATTCCCAAAATTCATCAGAATCATGACAATTTGAAGCATGCAAGTCAGCCAATCCAAAGAAAATTGGACTGCATCTGCCTAATATATCACCACAACAAAATTTTCTCCTTAAACCTGCATCAATCTGATATTCAAAACTGAAAATGATTTTTAAAAAAATCATGGGAAAGCTGATATTAAGATTATTTTGATTCAAATTAATCTGAACTTGGGTAGTATCAACTCAAATATATGAACATAAAACTTGGTTTAAACCTGAAAAGTCCAGAGTTATACATGTGATTCTCACAATGTATTTGCCCTTGTCAGTAGACTTATAATGCTAAAAGTCAGGTTTTAACCTGCAGCAGACAGAGAACAGCAAACACAATGTATTTCAGCCACAGTGGACTTATAACACTAAAAGTCAGGTTTCAACCTGCATTCGACAGATAACAGCAAACACAATGTGTTTCAGACACAGTGGACTTATAATACTAAAAGTCAGGTTTTAACCTACAGCGGACAGAGAATAGCAAGCACAATGTGTTTCAGACACAGTGGACTTATAATGCTAAAAGTCAGGTTTCAACCTGCAGCGAACAGAGAACAGCAAACACAATGTATTTCAGATACAGTATAGCTCCTTTTCAGAACTTTCAACATAATAAGTAAGTGATAACTGATGAGCTGTTTTTCATTTTCTTTATTCTTTTGGAATTACACTTGGGAGAGAAATTCTAATAGGTTTGTTTGTTATGAATTTCGCGCAAAGCTACACGAGGACTATCTGCGCTAGCTGTCCCTAATTTAGAAGTGTAAGACTAGAGGGAAGGCAGCTAGTCGTCACCGCCAACTCTTGGGTTACTCTTTTACCAACAAATAGTGGGATGAACCATCACATTATAATGTCCCAACGGCTGAAAGGGTGAGCATGTTTGGTGTGACGGGGATTCGAGCGCCCTAACCACCTGCCAGGCCATAATTATATTAGGACTTAAATAAATTGAACTGTTACTTTCATCTATTATCTATTTTGTTTTGTTTATGGAAATTAAAATACTCCATCCCAATATCTTCGTAGGCTTAGCCTTTCTGCTAGAGAGAAAAAAACAATTCTAGTCACAATGACTGATTACTAATTATATTACCAGTCACAACACAAAACAGTCATTACTTAATGCCTGTTCACTCTTAACTCTTAATAAATCAATAAGCATACATGTGTTAATAGAAAAAAATGTTTACATTGGTTGTTTTGATAATGTAACAGCCATTATTTCTATATACAGCTATGTTGA